ATTGTCAATCTTTGGAGTGACATTCATACCTTTACTGTATTTGTACTTTCTCAGTGCATGTTCTAAAAGTTTTTTAATGTTGGGCTAGAGATTTATGTAGCGTTAATAAATGCCCTAGAATAATTGTATAGGAGAACGAACAAATGAAGAGCGAACAAATTCTTTTTCATTCATTTATTTATTTATTTTTATTTATTTATTCAGTATAAAGCAATCAAAATTCAACAAAAGTTGAAAACTCCTTGAGTTTGAATACAAAGATGCCAACCATACAGATATCCTGGATGGGATTGTCGCCAACGTGGGACAACTAAGACATCCAAAAATCACACCATTATCATCATATAACTCTTTGTTTCCTATCTGTGGATGTTTACATTTTCAATAAAGTATGGTAGGATGAATTTGAACATGCTTAGCTCCTTGCATTAAAACCCACATTATTTTTAGTTCAGTTAAAGGTCAAAAATTTTAATGTTGAGTTCAAGCTTGAATATAAAAATAATAAAATCCTTGGCCCCTATGTATGTTTGAAATATGAAATACTGTTGAGCCTTTCTTTTAGCCTTGACTTCATTGATTGGTTTCATTGTTGAGTCCACATTGTCTTCAGTGGTTACATTTCTATTACAGTAGTATTCCTTGTTATATTAAGTTTTCCTGTATTCATATCTATAATATTTTTATACACACATTCATAAGCAACCAACATTCATTGATAATGGATTGTCAAGTAATCCCTTTGCTTCTAGATTGTCAGTACCCACCTCAGCCCACCATTGCTGAGGTAAGAGAATTATGGATTATGACACCTCTTTAGACTTAAATATGAATATAATTTTCTTCATTTAAAAAATAGTTTTGACAAATTTACCCATCTTTGTTCGGTATTGCTGTTTTTTATCCTGCTGATATCTTACTTAACTGTATTCGCTTGTTAATGTAAGGACCACAAAATAAGGTTTCTTTTTTACCTTTTTTTTTTGGATCATCCTTAGTATCATGTCCTTGTCTTCCCTGTCTGTTTGCTTTGTATTTTGTGTATGTAATGGTACTGAATAAAATCAATCAATAAATATTATTACAGTATTATTTTATTTATTATTTAAATGCTCTTGGTATGCAGTAATCAGATCATTATGAACCTCGGATTGCTGATTCCAGACATACATAATTACTGTACTTATTTCAAAATTAGACAAGGCGCATTAGGGTGATTAAATTGTCTGTGTTTACAGTCAATTAAACGTTTTAAATTATCCATTATCATAAACTCATTTAAACTGTAAGATCCATAATGCGGCATATGATAATCTTATTAACCTGATTATTCTTAGTCTGCTTGTGTTCAGTGGCTGTAGTTAGACCGAACTTAGATCTTCAATCTGTGGTACCATATGTTGTGAAGTCCATTGTACAGTAGCCATATACTGTACTACAATACAGGAAAACTAACTTCAGTTCCACTACTGTATATCCATGTGCTGCTGTGTGTAATAGACTGTCACTTATGAATATTTGTTTTCCTTTTTTGTTTTTTAAAGCAAAAAGAAATATCAGAAAATTAGGAAAATATGCTTCTATTTTTCTTTTTCACATTTAAAAACACATTTTTGTCACTCTTTACTTTTTTTTTACTTACATTTTATCTCCCACTCATCCATCTAACTGCAAAATGTGTTTTTACTATAGGCTTCATTGTTGCTACAATATTTTCTGAATTTCACCTGTTGTCTAGTCTCTGGCAGTTGTTTATGATAATACTAGATAGAGGCTTACATGCTATTTCCTTACTAACCCTATATGATAAGTTGGAGGATGATAATACAGTACTTTAGGTATGATAAATTTGTTGGCATAAAATCAGTTTCTCAAGCCATCAGTTATGGATGGTTTCTCTACCATAAGTGACAACCTAATTATTGTTATTCATTGCAACATGTCAGTCGCTGATGAACCCATTACTTAAATCAAACTATACCAAGTTTTTCAAAAGGGAACAGCGTATAGGATTGAACCCTGTACCAGTAAGGATTTCCAGTGTTCAGCAAACACAGTGGTTACCATCCAAAGTGAGTGCTGCTCTCCATAAATGTGTTGTATTGAAACTTTTTAACTGCAGTACAGTATATGAATGTAGCAGCAGTTTGGCGCAGCGGTTGAGGTTCGGACTTTCAATCGTAAGGTGGGGTTTCGAGTCTCCGCTGAGCAGATTCGCTTGTGTCCTTGGGCAAGGCACTTTAGCTATATTGCTTAAGTCCACCCAGCTGTATCAATGGGTCTCATCTCATCCGCTTCACACTACAGAAACTGGGGATAAACTCCTATAAAGCCCTATAAGCCCCAGTGGATTCAGTTAGTAGTAGTTAGTATATGAATGCTTTGTTTCGTTTTATATTTTTGGAATTTCATGTGTTTACAGTTAGTTAGATCTAAAGGCAGACCTTGTTTATTTTCACTATACATGTCAACCAGTATTTGTTTACTTGCACTTGGTCCTTTACTGTGTATTTCCCTTAAACAGTATATCCTGTTCCGTGACTACCATAAAGGTCCGTTATCAATTACCATTGTTGTACTTGAGTAATCAAGTATCTTAATTATTTATACTGATAATATTTAAGTGTTGGGATTGAATTTCCCTGATCTGCATTTTAATATTCTTTAATCCTAAATTTGCTTCTGTACCAATAGTTTTTAATGTGACCCATTATTAATTATAATAATTATGTGATTATTATCAATTTATTGCATCCTTATAATGTTTTTTTTAATTAAAAGTACTGTAGCTATCTTGAAAGATTACATTCAATTGATCCAGTTGTAGTTGAGGAGGCATTGTACAATGTCTTTGATGTAAAGTATTGTGTAAAATATTGGCATTCTGTATGTTTGTAGGTAATGGAGAAAACATATAATACACCAATGAGCATTGCCTGGCAAGCTATTCTAGCGACAAAATACTTTCAATGTTGGCTGAATTAATGTGTTTGATTCAGTTTTGCAAGAATGAGGTGCCGAGATGGTGTTCTTTTTTCACAAAATGCTCGCCAAGGCAATTTGTTATAAGCCTCAATTACATATCATACTGACTGAGAATCGGTACTATGCGGTATGTGATGTATTTCAACATTGGCTACGTGATGTTTTACCACAAGTCTTCTTTTTTTATTAGCCAGCATACTGTAAATAGATGATTCAGCTCTATTTTAATCGCCCATCAATCCTCTTACAGTAATCCATAAAAAAAACGTGAAACAAAACATTTCATTTCTAGTGGTTTTCTTAAGTACATTCTTAACGTAACTAGAATTTGGAAGTAATGATAATGGTTTTATGACTTCCAAATATGCATCATTTAAAGGTACTGTACTTAACTTAAGAAAAAAATAATTAAACTGATATAAAATAAAAGAAAGTTAAACAAAAATGATTATACATACAGAACAAACCTACCATACTGTTTTACCAACGTGCTATAATGTGAGTAATCTAATACCCTATTCTAACTAGACTTTGCATTGCGACCGTTTGCGATGTAATCAGTGGTAAACAGTTGTAATCCAATTTGTTCGCAACCATTCGTAAACTTCAAGACCATTCAGACACCTTTTTACTTTGATACTTTACATCAATAGCAACGATATAGGTCATCTTGTTTTGTCTAACCTCAGCCAATCAGTGTGATCGAATTCCGTGGTAATCGGGAGTAATAAAGATTGTAACACCCAATCGCAATGGGTAACAATTGCAAAATCGATTACTTATCGACTACTGTTGGTGAGCTTTCAGACACGATTTTACTTTGCGATTGGGTGTCGCAACTGCTAAAACGAATCGCAATGCGAAGCTAGTCTGAATGGGGTATTAGCCGGATAATGATTTTGGCAACTTTAAAACTATGTGTCATATCATCACACACAAAAGTTAGTAGATGAGAAATAACAATGAATAAATGAATGTGTTGAAAGAAAGTGAAGTAACTAGAAATAAATTTGTTCCTTAATTACAGTAGCACCTAAATGCAGAAACTTCTAATTTTGTCAAAATTATCCTGGACTGAAATTTTTTTTTATTAAACCCCTAATTTTTAAAACAAAACCGTGTTTGATTGTCGCCAAATAGTGAAGATTTTTTATTTATGTAGGTTGAATGGTAATATGGTTGAGTAAATAAATAAATAAATACATAAATTCCCCTTCCCTATCCATTCTGTTCTTGGTTCCCAGAATATAAACCACTTAATAAAAATAGTCTTGATCATTATGTACTTCTGGTTCTGGTAACTTGTACTTTATACTAAGACAAATATATACCCTGTTTTAGCCAACTGTTTTTTATCACTTTATTTATTAGCTCACACAGGACCACCAAATTACTGGTGTTGATAAGTAACTTCCCCGGAAGTTGTGACACATACATTGTGGTCACAAAGAATTCCTGAGTAGGTAGTGTAATTCTTATGATTGTTCATTCAATTGGTAACGTCCTCTGAATAGGTATGAAACTGGTCAGGTGTGTAGTTTTTCTGTTATATCTCTTTCAATTTAATTATTATTATGCTAATTAGTGGGTAGTCTAGGATTGGTTAAGGCATGTGCTATTGCGTCGTAATTGTCTTTTTGTTGTGATTTGTTTAGTTTGAAATCAGCACTTACTTTTCTGTCTTAATGAAGCATTCATCCATGGAACATCTAAGTTCATGTAAAGGCATGTTTTGATTGGTCCAGCAAGGATTTTTAAGTGTGCTTTTGAACACATTCTTGCCAACAATACCACAGTAGACTTACGGTAAAGCTGAACAATAAAATAGGGTGAAAAGAACTCAACCAACCTTTAAAATATAAGCAGTTTATTTTCCAATTGAGTTGCGGCAACAATAGCAAGTTTCTTTTCACCCTTGTTATTGGTGGAATGAAATTAGATGCGGACCAAGCATGCATGAGTTGCTCTGATTGGATTCTTCTACATCTGATGAAAGGAATGCCAACGAGCAGGTGGGATGAAAAAGACCTTTACATTTACTTTAGCCTGAATGGGTTGAGCATCTTAGGAACTACTGTATTAAGCAGCAACAGTTACTAACATCTGCAACATTATTTTAGAACACCTGTCTTTTCTTCAGGCAAGGGTACTGGAATACTCACCATTATTTATTGTATAGTTGTCATTGGATACAGTACAGTGAGAAATTCCACTGTTCAGTTTTGGATTTACTTACATTTCTTCTACTTGAAACTAAACAGGCATTTCTAGAAATCAACTGTTTGTGTATGGAAATAAATGTTTGCATTTTTATCACCAGTTTTGTTCTTGAAATAGTTTTTTTGTAGTAGCGAGCAGCATATTACCAGTGCCATGATTAAGCCTGACAATTCAACCTTCTGATACTGTTTCTTGGGAATCTATATTCGTGACAACTGTCAACTTTGGTTTTGAACTTATTAACACATTGACAGGAGGAGATAATAATAAGGTTTGATTACTGCTACTGTATGTTTGGAAATATTTCTGCTGGTGGGTTTTTCGAAACTGAGACATATTAGAAAAACCTCTTGTTTGGATTATTTTTTCTTGCAGATTTAAGTAAGTTTCTGAAGTATTATATTTTATTGGTTTCTCTCTAATGTCATATGATATTGTCTCTAATGTCTGTGATATTATCTATCATGAATACAATTGGTACTAAAGATTTACATCATGAAGTGTATTATATATTTTTCTGTACAGTATATTATTAGTTCGTAACATACTGTAAAAGTGCAGGTAAATTTGTTTCATTTTAGTCCCAAAATATCTTTTATTACTGTATTCCCAAAATTTCATTTCATTTTAAAACATGGTAATGCTATCAGGAATTTCATGATAAAATGTCATGAAATTAGGGAGTACAGATGGCCAACGCATTTTCTGTAATGGTGCCACAGCATTGTATAGTATTATAGTGCACTTATAGTGAGGGTACCTACAATATTTGCATATAAATAGGCCTATAATCTCAGAAACATTTTCACAGATTAAATTTTTTTTATTATCTATTAATGTACTTTTTAAAAAATTATTATAAAACTAATGTTCCGTATATCTTTTTGTTTGTTTTTGCTTTCAGAGACCAGAGATATATTTATTTCATGTATTTTTCCTTAAATCAGTGGAGAAACTTTGTACAGCAATTTAGTTTACTTTTGTTAATCGTTTCTCTGATTTTCGGTCAGTTGTTATATTCTTGTTTGTAATGTGTGAAATATTAATAAAGTAATTTTTTTGTTGATATTTTGTTTTTCACAGATTGATGATTAGGGAGTTTTAGCAAACTTACGAAAATGATAACGAATACGGTTAAATCATGAAATTTTTAGAAAACTTTTCCCCACAGTAGCATTTGTGACAACGTAGGCTATTCATGTCTTTTGCATGAATCAAGGATCATATGAAGCTCGTACAGCACATTATCGAGACTGTTTTCGGCACAAATGACGATAATGATAATGCCTCATGTTGCTTTTATTTGTTCAAAATTTTTGTACATTATAAATGAGGTATTCGTTATTGTTTTCGTAGTTAAATGGGCTTCTAGTAAGGCTCCTGTTGAAAGTGACTATGAATTAATAAACAGTCATCCATTTTCATTAAATATTTTCAATTTATTTTGAAAAGAGTATTTCAGAAAAAAATTGATGATTCAGTCAGTGGCTGTCAACTGAAATATGGTGTGCAATATTCTTTATTATGGGCCTACACACAAACTCTAGAATGGATCAAACCTCTGTTCTCTAGAAACAGTCAAATACTTTCATAATCATGGAATAATATTAAGTGCATTACTCCATTGTGAATACTGTTTTTTAATCCACATAAAATATCAGTTTTGAAGTGTTCCAATCAAAAGTCAAGACGAAACCCTTTGATTATAAATTACTTGGTAAACACTAGCAGCTGGTTAAATAGTTCATTTGAAGTGATTTTTATATCGTCTGAGATCAATCATATGGCGAGAACAAAGAACACCATTGCACTTTCTCAGTGTTCATTTGTTGTTAATCATGATTGTACTTAATACAGTCACAAATTTTTCTTCGATACTGTACTCTTATGGTTTCATTCATTATATTTTATTATGATTGTATTTAATTAAAACTTGTAACAAATTATTCTTTGATCACCCCTTGTTACTTCCTAAGTTATGCCACTGGTGATTGTCAACTAGGAATTATTTATGGACAACTGTTGCTTGAAAGTTGAACTATATTTTGAAGTTGTGAACTTCCTTCCAAGACCTGTAAATTATATCCCAAATTAATCATATGAACTTGATAAGAATTTGAAAAATGTACATCACATCATATAATATGAGATGACAATATTTTTTAAATTCTTTTGTTGCTGTTACCAACACATTGGGAATTATCTTGCATAAAGTTATGATACGGTAATTAATATGTGATACTGATTCATAGAAATACATAAATATTTTGTTTAATTTAATTTTCAATAGGCCTGTGAAGTGTAAACTCTGCAGTTTCACTCAAATTTGAGGAATGTTTTTTTCTACAGATTTTGTTTAATGACTACTGTAAGTGTTGAAATTTATCAAGATATAAGCTCTCATTGACAAAGTCAGGGACATTGTGGAGGATGCTATGGAGGTGGGGGTGGAGAGGGGCGAGTGTTGAGTGAGGGGAAGCTAGCTGGGAAAATGATGTTGTATGAGTCTGATTTCTAACCGGTGCTACTGTAATAATTAGCAAATTTCAAGTTTTTAGGTTTCCTGGAAAAGGGGGTGCGACTCTTTCCTTGGGTGAATGTACCATATTTCTTGTTGGACCACACAATACACAATGCACTTTTTATCTAAAAAGTGTGCGAGTATCATATCATTGATAAATATCATATTCTTCATGAGTGCTAGGCTACTCATTTATTATCGCACATTTGTATTTTATCATAATAATATTCTTCACTTTAAGCATTCAAAAAAGAAATACATATTACTAAAGGAAATCCTATCTTACAGTAAAACTTGTTGAATTGTAATCCTGTCTTAAGATTGACATGCTGTAATCCCTTACAATTTTAAATAATTTATAATTTTCTAACCTCTCCAACTTAGTGACGTCAACTCCTAATTTGTGACATGCTGGCGGAAAATAATACTTACCAGTCCCCAAGGTTCAAAACCATAGGAGGATGTACCAGTAATAGTTTGTCTTATAAACTTGACATTTAAGAATGCACATGTATTTACCATAAAAATTTTTTTTGTTTTTGTTTTTTTTTTGGTATAATTAAATGTTAGATTTTTTTTTTATGAATCACATTTTTTTTTTAATGAATTCCAAGCACAGTAAATATTCGTCTCCAGAATGATCTATTAATCTAATTTTACTTTACAATATTTACATTGGCTTCATTAAATATTCCTTTTATTATAAATGTATACAGTGTTGCTCGCCCATATTTTTTCTTTTCCAGTCTGCCTCACCCATGATGAGTCACTCAATATTAGTAGATATTTATTATATGAGACCTAGAATAATTTTGTTTATGTGGTCTCGTGTCTTTTCAGATTTATTTATCTTGTTTTTTTAATTTAAAAATTGATTATGATTCTTATATTATTTTAGATCTTTTATATTGTTATTATTATTATTATTTAATGTATTTGTTTCCTATGTTTAAGTGTCGTTGTTTAAGTGCCCTTTACTTCAGCAATACACAATATGAGAGCTGGCCTAAGTAACAAATAATGATGGTATGTGTCTAGTGTATACTTGGGTTTATCTCAAATTCTGTCCGTAAGTTTTAGAGATATGCCACCTAAATCTCATAAAAAAAATTTTATCATTTATTTTAAAATAACCAAATAAAGTGAAGTGCATAATTTATGTATTTTTAAAGTTATTTATTTTCAACTGAAAATTTAAAAAACTTGGAAAATTATTCCTTCAATTAACATTTACATAATACCATTCCAAAAAAAACCCAAAATTCTAACAGTACTGTATACTCAATGTATACCCTCAAATTTCTGAATGCAAATAAGTATTTTAGTCTTAGAAACTGACGACATACTGTACTCTGAGAGATTATGAATAGATACAATCATGTTTTATTAATAGCGCCCTCTATACACATGGAATTAAAAAAGATAGTCTGTAGTAGTGTAGAATGAAGTGATAATCTCTTTTTTTGTGACAAAATAGTTTCATTCATTGATGGTCTATTGAATTCTTTCTTCAGCTTGTTAACTACTATGATAACAAAAAATCAGGTAAAATAAAGATAAACATTGACATGTCTATTTTTTTTAAAATGCATATTTCAATTAAAACAAAATGTCTTTTTGCCTCCTCCTGTACACTTTTGTTACCTCTTTTTTAACTTCCACAAGGCAAAACACTCACAAATAACCCTGTGAAAATGCTATCATCCCCTGTAAGCTATAGGTATCCATGTGCGTGACGAAGGCTTGCATACAAATTCTATTTAAAATTACTAGTGGAGAAAAAGTGTCCCTATTGTCTTAATAAAAAAAAAAAGGAAAAAAGAAACAGTATAAGAAACAAACTATATATAAATATGTGTCCTTGTATAGAGTTTGGCCTTTGAATTATATTTAACAATGGTCCACAGTACCCAAAATAAATAATCACCACATAAAAGCTTTAAATCATAATGTAAAAACATAAATTGATCAAAAAAAAAAAACACCAGCTATTGTTTGCCAAAATTTCAAGCCCAATGGAGTTGCACTGTGTAAAATTGTTCTACTCATTAGCATAATATATCCCCATCTGCATTGTCATAGTGTTCATTTATGTAGATCTTTTAACCCAGAAATGTTTATTTGCATATTTTGCCATTGATAAATGGCATAATGTTATCAAACTGACTTTAGAAGGGATTTTATGAACGAGTCAGTGACATTCAGTTGTGTTACTGTAATTCCTATATTATTAATATCAGTTTGCTGCTTAGATCTTCGCTATTAATATTGAACTTTATAGTGTACAGTATATTAGAAGTTGAATAGCCTTAGGTTACGTTCTGTACAATTCGGAAGTAACGGATAACAAAGAAGATGGACAATTTATGCTAATTCACAGGAAACAAAAGAAATGAAATATGTTTATTTCAGGACTATTAAATATGCTAGCATTATGTTGAATTCCTGACTGCTTTTGTGTTTCTACTGGTTAGACGGTTACTGTACTGGTTTTCCATGAAAAAAAAACAAATGAAATAAATCAATTCTTATTGCTTTCTGATAAAGAACTATACTGATAATGTCAGAACTATTAATATTAAATATATAATGGGCACATTATGCATGGAAAATAGCTATTATTTTGATTGTGGATAGTGCCTTAGAATACAAAACCACCATTACCATAATTGGTCAACAAATAGAAATTTAAATATTATGAACTGTATTTAATAGATTACTTTAATTGAAGAATAAAAGAGAAAGCAACTTTCATAATGATATTAATAAGTACAGGTAATCAAATAATTAATAATGATACAGTAATAATAATATTGTTTTGAATTGTGTATTTTACTGACTTTTGTTAAATTTAATTAAA